CTGCTACACCTGGACGAGGGCCAAAGAAACAAGCCAAGGCACAGTGCCGCGGTCCTCCCACGAGGCATATATGCTTGCCGCAGCCTTGGCTCAGCCGTGGCGAGTCTGCGAATTGCGCTGTGCGTATTGAGCCGAAGCCAGTTGGCGCTGGCACCGCACCCTCCCATGTGGGCTCGACCCCGTCTTTCAGGAGGGCGTGGCCGACCCCTCCCATGTGGGCTCCACCCCGTCTTTCAGGAGAGGCCGAGCTGTGCAGAGTAGCTGTGCGCGAAGGCCAGAGAGGGCAGCCAGACCTGCCGCAAAAAACTGCCATGCCTGCCCATCCACCCCCGTGCTCTGGCTTTCCGCCTTCGGCGGGAAAAACTGGCTGAGCTCTGGAGGATGGCTGGTGACTCGAGCCGCCTATGGCGGAGACTGGTGCGCGGCAGATGCGGCAGCGCGCCGCGCTGCGGCCGCTGCATCCAAGGCGGCACGTGCTGGGGTACAGGTGAAAAAGGGCCTAGAGTCGTCGTGGCGTGGCGGACTCTGCACAGTGGGGCTCGGCAGCTGCGCCCCTGGCACTGGGTCTGCCTGTGACTGCTGCGGGGCCGCGAACAGATTACTCGAGGCTGACAGCACAGCGCGGCAGGCCCTCGCCTCCGCTGATGTGATCCCCGGTGGCGTACATGATGGCTGCACTGGCGACGGCACTGACGCTGGCACTGCTTCTGGCTGGCGTGAGGGTACTGGCACCGGCCCTGTCGGTCGTGAAGGTGCTGGCGGCGCTGGCGCTGCAGGGCGTACTGGGAGTGGTATTGGCTTTGACGGCCGTGAAGGTACAGAGACTTGCCGAAAAAATGGTGGCGGGCATAAGCCCTGCGCGAGGCCTAGAGCAGCGGCAGGGCTGGGGCCTGGATCAGCCTCCGCCCGCGTCCTAGGCGGAAAGCCTGGGATTGGGGTGCCGCGGGGAAGAAAAGGAGGCCGTGCAGAGGGGGGGGCAGAGGGGGAGGTGAACTCGCCCTCCGGGACCACCACGTCGTCGCCCGCTGCCGCCAGCCGCTGACCGAGAACCCCGTGGTCTGGAAAGCCCGCCTCGGCAGCCATGGCCGCTGGTCCCGCTGCCAGCGGAGACGAGGGGACTGCAGCCGCCGCGTCGCCTCCATGGGCACCGGGAGCGACAGCATCCGGAGAGGGAGAGGCCGCTGCGCCCCGCTGCGCAGAGGGCGTTGGCGCCGCCGCCAGCGCCGAGGCCACCGCCTGGGCCAGCTGCGATGGCTGGCGGCCACGATGGCTGGTGAGGGCTGCGAAGGCGCGCAGAAGGTGTTCTGACGCGCGCGCCTCGGCCCTCGTGTACTGCGCGCGACGCGCGGCAGCCTTCCGCGGCGGCCTGCGGCGGCTTGCGGTGGCCGCGGGAGGCGCCTCCATAGCGCGGCCGAGGGGACGGGAGCAGGGGAGAGCGGGGAGGCGGCGCGGGGAAGCGCCGATGGCGCTGGCTGGCGCAGAGCGGCGGCTCGTGCCAGCTGGCGCTAGGGAGGGGATGAGGGAGGAGGGAGAAGGCGATACAGGGGGGAAGGGGGGAGAGAAGGTTCCTTTCTCATCCTCCTCCTTGCAAGCCGATCAGGCGCAGCCACACAACCTCCGTCCTCCTCATCCTCAGTATCCCACCCCCTCCCCACCCCCATCCACTTGCCCTGACCCTGAGTGTCAACCCGACGAGCGCTTGCGAACACCGTACTCTCCAGGGTGGTGCCACCACTGGGCCCACCAACGAGGGTAAGGAGCCGCAAAGCCACATCACTTCAAGTCCTCCCACACCACTTCCCTCCCTCCTCCCCGACTTCGTGCGTGCTCACGCAGGGGCACAAAAGCGCAGGACGCTCATTCCAGCGAGCGCATCGTGATCCTGGGTGCCCAACTGCCACCGCCTTCCTCCGGCGCGAAGCGCCTCGGGTTTGCCGCCGGAGGCCACGCCAGGGTGATGAGTATCGCGCAGGACAACTGAGCTTTGAGGGAAGCGGGTGCCAGATGGAAAGGGTCCAGCAAATCCGCCGGCCCCTTTGAGGGGCCACCCCGCTGTAGGCCGAAGTATGCAGCTCCCTGCACCAGTTGCAGTTTCAAGTCTCCAGTGTTGCAGTCCTGCTTTCTGCTTCCTACTGTAAACTAATGAAGTCCGTGCGAGGGAGGGGAGTCCCGAACCGGCCGGTAACCACGCAGGGATCGCGTTCTCTGAATACCTGGGGGGGCGTGGGACACATCAAAATATATGAGATTCGCCCTGAGGCCATAATCCTCCTTGTAAATGGCGCCATGCTCTTGTCCCCGAGGCCCCAACCCCTCACATATTGATCAATGCTTGCGTCCCCGAGGCAAGAACACCTCGTAAATCACGCAACAGTCGCGTCCCCGGAGCCATACCTCCCCGTAAATTGCATCTGATTCGCATTGCCGAGGCCAAGAGTGCTCCAAGGCGCCCGAAGATGGTTCCAAGACGGCCCAAGAGGGCCCAACGAGACCCCAAGAGCGCTCCAAGAGGCCCAAGAAGCCCACATCGCTGATTTTACGATCATGTTTGAAGAATGTTGGCCTTCTCGCATGTTCGGCTTTCCGACGCTCCAAGACGCCTCCAAGAGGGCCCCAAGACGGCCCAAGAGGGCTACACGACGGCCCAAGAAGCGCTCAAGACGGCCCAAGAGGGCCCCAAGACGGCCCCAAGAGGGGCCCAAGCACGGGACCACGAACCGAACAGTCGATATTTGTGCCCCGAGAAGCCCCCAGGATGCCCCGAGAGGCCCCCAAGAGGCGCCCGAGAGGCTCCCCACGGCACCCCAAATATACGCATATATAAAAGGCCCCAGATGCACAACCCAGGCACGGTGGCGGCATGGGCCGAGGGCCACTAGAATCCGCCGCCCCCTGCTTGCAGGGGTGCACGACGTGCTGGATGTTTCAGGTTTTGGTTTTGGTTCTTTTTCCAAAAGAACTCCCCAGTGGGCTCCGGCAGAACCCGCCGGCCACCCGGAAGGCCCCCAAACGTGCTCAACGACCGGAAAAAATCCTCCAAAAAACGGCCGTTTCGCTCGGGACATCCTCAAAAAATCGCGAAGATGGCCCAAGATGGCCTCCAAGTCCGCCCGAGATGGTCCAAGACGGCCTCCAAAACGGCCCAAGAGAGTCCAAGACGGCCCAAGACGGCCCAAGAGGCCCCCCAGAGGCCTCCCAGACGGCCCAAGAGGCCTCCAAGAGGTCCTCCAGGAGAGTCCGAAGAGGCCAAAATCATTGATTTTTCTTTGGTTTTTGAAGGATTCTGGCATTTGCGCCTTTTCGGCTCTCCGACGGCTCGAGACGGCCCAAGAAGCCCCCAAGATCGCCCAAGAGGCCCCCAAGAGAGCCCCATGATGGCCCAAGTGGCCTCCAAGATGGCCCCTAGAGGGCCCCAAGAGGGCCCAAGAGGCCTCCAACACGCCCAAGATGGCCTCCCAGACGCCCAAGATGGCCTCCAAGACGGCCCTGGAGCATTCCAAGCGGGCCCCAAGTCGGCCCATAGAGGCCCCCCAAACGGCTTCCGACGGCTTCAGACGTGCCAGGAACCCACCAAGATGGCCGAAGTTGGCTCGAAGCTGGCCCGAGACGGCCCAAAAAGCCCCAAAGATCGCCCAAAGCTTGCCCAAGAGGCCTCCAAGACGGCCAAGATGACCTTCAAGATGCCCACGTGTTCCCCGAAGGCTTTCCAAACCGATTCGGGGAACACGTGGTCCGATAGCTTGGCAGGTCTGGCCTCAACGTTCGGCCACATAGGCGCTTCCAAAAAGGCAGGGGGCGGCGGTGATTCGCCGTAGGCGTCTTCGATCCGCCGCCCCCTGTCGATTCATCGCAGGGGTGCCTGGCGTGCTGGATCCTCTCGGTTTTGGTTCTTTTTCAAAAAGATCGTTTCGGCCCGTCCCGCCGGCCACCTGGAAAGGTGCTCAATCCGGAAAGATGGCTCAAGATGGCGCCACGATGGCCACGTTGACCCAAGATGGCCTCCAAGATGGTCCACGATGGCCTCCAAGTTCGCCCAAGATGGTCCAAGACGGCCTCCAAGACGGCCCAAGAGAGTCCAAGACGGCCCATGACGTCCCAAGAGGCCCCCCAGAGGCCTCCCAGACGGCCCAAGAAGCTTCCAAGAGGTCCTGCAGGAGGGCCCGAAGAGGCCAACATCCATGATTGTCCTTAGGTTTTTGAAGGATTGTGGAATTTGCTTCTTCTCGGCATTCCGACGGCTCAAGACGGCCCAAGAGGCCCCCAAGATCGCCCAAGAGGCCCCCAAGAGGGCCCCATGACGGCCCAAGTGGCCTCCAAGATGGCCCCAAGAGGGCCCCAAGACGGCCCAAGAGGCCTCCAACACGCACAAGATTGCCTCCAAGACGCCCAAGATGGCCTCCAAGACGGCCCCGAAGCGCGCGAAGAGGGTCCCCCGTTGGCCCAGAGCGGCCCTCAAGACGGCTCCCGACGGCGTCAGCATGCCAGGAACCCACCAAGATGGCCGAAGTTGGCTCGAAGCTGGCCCAAGACGGCCCAAGAGGCCCCCAAGAGTGCCTCCAGGAAGGCCAGAAAAGGCCAAAAACCTTGATTGTCCTAAGTTTTTTGACGGATTTTGACATTTCCTTTTTTTCGGCCTGCCGACGGCCCGAGACGGCCCAAGAGCCCCCAAAGATCGCCGAAAGATCGCCCAAGAGGTCTCCAAGACGGCCAAGATGACCTTCAAGATGCCCACGTGTTCCCCGAAGGCTTTCCAAGCCGATTCGGGGAACACATGGTCCAATAGCTTGGCAGGTCTGGCCTCAACGTTCGGCCACATCGGCGCTTCCAAAAAGGCAGGGGGCGGCGGTGATTCGCCGTAGGCGTCTTCGATCCGCCGCCCCCTTTTGATGTATCAAAGGGGTGCCTGGCGTGCCAGACGATATGGCTTTTGGTGCCGGTTCTTTATACAAAAGAACTCCCCCTGGGGCTTCGGCCCGTCCCGCCGCCGCCGGCCACCCGGAAAAGATCTCAAAACGCATCCGTGGTGCCTCTGTTTCCTCCAGTTGGCCCAAGATGGCGTCCAAAATGGCCAAGATGGCCCAGGATGGTCTCCAAGACGTCTCCAAGACGGCCCGAGATGGCCTCCAAGACGGCTAAGATGGCCCCAAGATGCACCCAAGACGGCCCAAGATGGCCTCAAGATGGTCTACGACGGCCCAGAAGGCCCGCAAGAGGCCTCCAAGACGGCCCAAGAGCTCTCCGAGACGTCCTCCAGGAAGGCCCGAAGAGGCCAAAATCCATGATTGTCCTTAGGTTTTTGAAGGATGTTGGCATTTGCGCCTTGTCGGCTTTCCGACGGCCCAAGACGGCCCAATAGGCTCCCAAGATCGCCCAAGAGGTCCCCAAGAGGGCCCCATCCATGACGGCCCAAGTGGCCTCCAAGACGGCCCCAAGACACGGACCAGGAGCCCACCAAGACGGCCGACCATGGCCCTAGGATGGCCCAAGACGGCCCAAGAGGCCTCCAAGAGGGCCTCCAGAAGGCCCGAAAAGGCAAAAATCATGGATGTTCCATTGGTTTTTGAAGGATTGTGACATTTGCTTTTTTCTGCCTTCCGACGGTCCGAGACGGCCCAAGTGCCCCCAAAGATCGCCCAAGAGGCCCAAGACACGGCCCCAAGAGGCCCCCAAGACGGCCCAAGAGGCCCCCAAGAGGGCCTCCAGGAAGTCCAGAAAAGGCCAAAAACCTTGATTGTCCTAAGGTTTTCGACGGATTTTGACATTTTCATTTTTTCGGCCTTCCGACGGTCCGACACGGCCCAAGTGCCCCCAAAGATCGCCCAAGAGGCCCAAGACACGGCCCCAAGAGGCCCCCAAGACGACCCAAGGGGTCCCCAAGATGCTCAAGATGGCCTCCAAGACGGCCCAAGAGCCCTCTAAGACGTCCTCCGAGAAGGCCCGAAAGGGTCAAAATGGCCTCCAAACGGCCAAGATGACCTTCAAGATGCCCACGTGTTCCCCGAAGGCTTTCCAAACCAATTCGGGGAACACATGGTCCAATAGCTTGGCAGGTCAGGCCTCAACGTTCGGCCACATGGGCGCTTCCAAAAAGGCAGGGGGCGGCGGTGACTGCCGCCCCCTGTTGAATCATCACAGGCGTGCCTGGCGTGCTGGCGCGCTGGACTTCTTACGATTTGGTTTGGCTCTTTTCCCAAAAGAACTCCCCGGGGGGCTCCAGCGCGTTCCGCCGGCCACCCGGAAGGATGCCGAAAGATCATCCAGAGGTGGTTGCAAAGGGCTTTTCCGTTCCAGACGGCTCCAAGATGGCCCAAGATGGCCTCCAAGACGGCCAAGATGGCCTCCAAGACGGCTAAGATGGCCCCAAGATGCCTCCAAGACGGCCCAAGATGCACCCAAGACGGCCTAAGATGGCCTCAAGATGGCCAAAAACGGCTCAAGAGGCTCCCAAGAGGCCACCAAGACGGCCCAAGAGGCCTCCAAGAGATCCTCCAGGAAGGCCCGAAGAGGCCCAAATTATTGATTTTCCTTGTGTTTCTGAAAGATGTTGTTTTTGCGCATTTTGGGCTTTCCGACGGCCCAAGACGGCCCAAGAGGCCCCCAAGGTCGCCCCAAGATCGCCCAAGAGGCCTCCAAGAGGGCCCCATGACGGTCCAGGAGGCCCCCAAGACGGCCCCAAGAGGCCCCCAAGACGGGCCAAGAGGCCTCCAAGACGCTCAAGATGGCCTCCAAGACGGCCCCGAAGCGCCCCAAGAGGGCCCCAAGTCGGCCCAGAGGGGCCCCCAAGACGGCTCCCGACGGCGTCAGACGTGCCAGGAACCGACCAACATGGCTGGCCGAAGGTGGCTCGAAGCTGGCCCAAGACGGCCCAAGAGGCCTCCAAAAGGGCCTCCAGGAAGGCCCGAAAAGGCCAACAACACGCATTTTCCTGTGGTTGTTTGAAGGATTTTGACATTTGCGTCTTTTCGGCCTTCCGACGGCCCACGACGGCCCAAGAGCACCCAAAGATCGCCCAAGAGGCCTCCAAGATGGCCCCAGAACGGCCCAAGAGGCCCCCAAGACGGCCCCAAGAGGCCCCCAAGACGGCCCAAGAGGCCTTTAAGACGCCCAAGATGGCCTCCAAGCCGGCCCTGGAGCGTTCCAAGAGGGCCCCAAGTCGGCCAAGAGAGGCCCCCCAAACGGCTTCCGACGGCGTCAGACGGGCCAGGAGCCCACCAAGACGGCCGAAGATGGCACTTAGATGGTCCAACACGGCCCAAGAGGCCTCCAAGAGGGCCTCCAGGAAGGCTTGAAAAGGCCAAACTCATGAATGTCACGAGAACTTTTGAATGATTGTGGCATTTGCTTTTTTTCGGCCTTGCGACGGTCCGAGACGGCCCACGTGCCCCCAAAGATCGCCCAAAACGGCCCCAAGAGGCCTCCAAGACGGCCCAAGAGGCCTCCAAAACGCTCAAGATGGCCTCCAAGACGGCCCAAGAGCCCTCCAAGACGTCCTCCGAGAAGGCCCGAAAGGGTCAAAATGGCCTCCAAACGGCCAAGATGACCTTCAAGATGCCCACGTATTCTCCGAAGGCTTTCCAAACCAATTCGTGGAACACATGGTCCGATAGCTTGGCAGGTCAGGCCTCAACGTTCGGCCACATGGGCGCTTCCAAAAAGGCAGGGGGCGGCGGTGATTCGCTGTGGGCGTCTTCCATAACGGCAACGTCTCAACATGCGCTGATGAGTCCTATCCGCCCCCACATATGATGTTCCCTGATGCGCCAAGGCAGCGCCGAGACGCTCCGACGCGACTCTGATATGAGGGGCAACGAAGGGGGGGGACTGGCATAGGGGGGATGGACCTGGAATCGGCGAAACATCGCCGATAGATCGGCGATATGCCTCTGATAGTATATCCGCACCTTCCTGGACAGGTTGGGACTCTCGGGCCCCATATCGGCGATCACTGGGCGATTGGGGGTCGATGCGTCCCCCCTATGCCTATCCCCCTATCGTTGCCCCTGATGATACATCCTATTATGATAGAAGGGGGCCGATGGCACGGGGGCGAAGCCCTTATGGACACTCGCCGCGGGATGAATGCGTGGTCCTGGGGGAAGCCCCAGCGTCTGCCACACGTCTGCGTCAGAAACCCGCTCCTTCGAGGTCTCTCGGGCCTACCGCCGGAGGCCACGCCAGGGCGATGAGGCCACGAACATCCCGACGACGCTCGGCTGATCTTCTGGGGGGCCGTCGTAGCCGCCCGCTCCTTGAGAAGGACGAGGTCCAAGTGGGCGAGAGGGTCGACCCGAGGCCCATGGGAGAACCCTGAGCTTACACGGATCAATTGCGCGGCGATCACGACACACCAATCGCTCACCGCAACGATCTCGCGACGGACGCGGCCCTGTGCACGCACAGGGCCAGCTCGGACCTGTTGCGAATGAACGGCAGAGACTGTGCACCGAGCGGCACGGACCTGTGGAGCCTGAGGCAGAACCAGACCGAGTCAGACCGATCGTGGCTCCACCGGTGCGAAGACAGCTTCACGTTTACGAGCTTGTTGAAGGGTATCGCGTGCACAGGGATGGGCTGCTCTGGATGGAACGCCATCTTGTACACCAGCGTGCGGCGAGTGTCCAGGGCATACCAATTCTCGTCTGGACGCGACCAGTAACACATCAGGGTGGAAATTCCAAGCGGCGCGCTGCGGGACCTGTAGATTTCCTTCTTACCGCCCACGACCTCGCAAAGCGTCTGCCAGATGGAAGTCGTGCCAGCATCGCTGAAACTGTCGTACGCGCAATCTTGCAGCCACCGAACCTCTCCGACTCTTACTAGCTCGTTCGGAGGTCTTGGAAACTCCTTTTTGGGCGCCCGAAATGGGTACCGAAAAAAATTGCGAGATGCCCAGCATCAAGCGTTCTCCAAATCCGACAGCGGCCGCTGTTGGGCGGGCGGCCTTCTGCCTCGCATGGACCACGCCCTCTCGGCGACGCTGACAGCAAGCCCTGCCCAAAACGAATAGGAGCTGCTGTCGGTCTTTGTTAAGGGAACAAGAATTGCATAAACATAAAACTCGGAGGTCCGCGCGGATTTCTCGGATCGGCGCCCGACCCCCCTCCCTGGCGCGCGGAGCGCGCCAGGGGCGGCGCTGGAGGCGCCGCCGGGGGGCCCCAGCGCCGATCCGAGAAATCCGCGCGGACCTCCGAGTTGTTATGTTTATGCCACTTTTTGTTCCCGTATTTGTAGCCCTCCTTTCCGTACCCATTTCGATCGCCCCAATCCTTGTCTGGAGCGTCGTCCAAAGAAACACCCGAGAACCGCGACGGCTCAAGGGGCAGACGCAAACCGGTGATGTCCGTGACTGGCAGCGGGCTGCTGCGCTTCGAAGGCATCTCCGCTGCTCTCGCATCGTCCCTCTGCCGGGTCTCCAAGCTGCAGGGCGCCTGAGCTCAACAGGCTCGAGGCAGAATGGCTACGGAGGGGGAGGAGAGGGACCCCACCCATTTGGACCCCATTGGGGAGGCCTGGATCGGGGGTCCCAAAACAATGTTGTGACGCGCAGCGTGGGGACCTCGGAATCTCAAGGGACCTCACCGCGCGGTCCGTCACCGCACGGTAATGTGAGCTCATAGGCCCTGGTCACCCGAGACGTCTTCCCCCACTGACTCACCACACGGTGTGGTCACCACACCGCGTGTCGACAAGCGCGTTCCACTACTCGCAGAGTAGCTACTCGCAAATGGCCCGAATATGCCGCGGGGGACTTACGCTCCATTGGCATAGAGGAAGACATCTATGTGTCGGACGTTTTCAAGTAGGCACGTTGCGAGAAAATGGAGCGCGCTCGAGGAGTGTGGGGGCCCTCGATGAGAAAGCGGGGCTGCGGAAGGGCCGTAGAACGCGGTGCGTCGAAAGCCAAATAACGTAGCAAACCGACGATGTAAGGTGCGACATACTTGCATGTGTATATATATATATACGTATACAGACTAATGATGTGTATACAGACACACTGTACATGGGAACGTTGACATGTATGTGTTAGAGTGTGCCGAACGGTCTTACGTCATCTCAGGGTGTGTTGGTAAAGTGAGAATCCTTGCTTGTCTTTGCTGATTTCTGGTGCTGCTTGCTATCGCCGTCTTCTGGCACGGCTTAGGGCTGTTAAAACGCAACAAATCATGGTGACCCGCAGCGTAGAAGTCCCAGGAATAGCGTCCTGGCGCGGTCGAGGATTCTTGGACGGTTTTTTTCTGATTCACCACTTCCCGCTATGAAATATACTCTGTCAGGAAAGTGCCCTCAAGCGAGTCCCACCACGTCGTGTCCGCCGCGGCCGCAAGCCATCGCAGATCGTTACCGTCGTACTGGAGGCATCGTCGTGGAGGGGTGGCTTCGTTGATGTCGCCCTGTGTCACTTCGCCGCCCGTCTTTCTATGCAAGCTCTGTAGGAACTTCCGTATGTCGGAGGAAAATGGGGAAGGGAGGGGGAGGGAGGAGGAAGGCGAAGAAAGGAAGGATCGACAGAGGAGGGTGGAGGAGGTAGCGAGGGACTTCGTCCTCATCCGGCACTCCTCACCTCTCACTCCTCCTTCTCCTCCTCCACCTCCTCCTCTTCCTCCTTCTGCCCCTCCTTTCCCTCCTCCCCATCCTCCATCCCTTTTTTCCTTACCCGCCACCATGCCGCAAGGCACGAGATACAGTTGTCCCCAGGCTTCTAAAAATTATTCGAAGGCTGTTGCTTCCCTCGGAGTGCGTCAGGAAGCCCCCGCGCCGGCCCCGAACGCGCCGCCGCGCCAGCGTTGGAGAACCTCGTCACTGCCAAATTCCCTGGCGCCGCGCCCATCAACGGCACCCGCATACCAGGCGGCACGGGCACGGCACAGCAGAAGGCCAAAGGGCACCACTCGACAGCCAAGCGCGACAACGCGCGGCAACAACTGGGCGGCGAACTCACATGCGCCTGTACGGCCACTCTCACCTCCCACTTCAACACCGCACACATCCCCAAACCCATGAAGCTCCTGAGTCGTCACGAAATTGGCGCGGACAAGCGTAAACTGACGGCGCCTTTGGAATCAAACCAGCGGATGTTCCCATGCTCGTATCTACTTCTGGACAGGGCGGCATCCACTTAGACGCCATCTACAACGGCATCAAAGGGAAACCTTCAAATGACTACATCACGGTACGGTATCCAGACGGTTACAAAAGAACGCTAAGAAACAGGCCCGACAACACAAAGCATAATGCCTGCGGCGCCGTCCGCGCGGACAAATGAATGGGCATCCGCGTGAAGCCTGACGCAACCGAGGCCAAGCGGGTCGCGCTCGAACTCGGAGGCACCGATGCCGCACTCGGCATCACCAAGCCACGGTCATCGAGCCACACAGCGACACGAGAACACATCTCCAGGGTCCTCACATCCACTGAATAGCACTGCGAAATGCAGCACGCAGGATGCGAGACAAACTCCAAGGAAAATTGGCTGCCCAGGCCAAACGTCCAAGACCGTTCAAGCCAAACCGACGCGAGGCTCCGCGGCCTGGAAGCTGACCAACAGCGGCTAGCCGTCACGGTCAGGCGCACCGAAATCATAATGACAAGCGTGGGCATCAGCCACGCCCCCCCTGGCCCAGCAATGCCACCAGCTTGAAGAAGGGATCTCCTCAGTGCAACTGGGGCAGACCAAGCTCGACACGCACCCGAGGGCCTGCATGTCCCAGATGGTCCCGCTTGTCACGCTGACCCAGGCCCGACGACCGAATCCCACCTGAGCCCCGACGCAAAGCCACCAAGGTCACCCTAGGACAGAGAAGCGTGGCCACCACTAGGGAAGCGGCTGAGCCGCAGCCAACTCGAGGGGAAGAGCGGGGATACAACACCGCGGGCATGCCACCCCACCGCGCGCCTCGACGGGCCCCCCTCCCCCCATTAACACTCGCCGAAAATTTCTGGATACACGCTGCACGCTTCTGCAAGGGCAGAAAGCTCGGGTCCGCTATAGCCCTGGGTGCGCTAGAAGCATTACTCTTCTAGTTTGCGCCGTCGTCAATTTTTTTTTGACGCTCCTACCTTGCATGCATCTGATCGCATCTCACCGCCACCTGGCGAGGAAGGCCTCAGCATAATTTGGCTCAGAGACGCCTGTCCGGCCAGCCGCGCACCAGCGGACGCCGCCTTCGGGTGGGCGTCGTCATTTGCCTCGGCCCTATGAGAATCTTCGTCCACGCCCTGATCGCATCCCGCGGCGTGCTTCTCCGTAATTTTGGGAGAGCGCCGGTCTCGACGCCCAACGACCCAGCCTGCGTGCAGACTAGGGGAAGAGGTACTACATGGTACTACTTTGTCTTTCGCCAGCGCTGGCGACACGCAGCGCCAAGCTGCTACTTCGGCGACATCCAAACCACTGGCTAACGCGATAAGCAGCCGCAACAGCAAGTCTCTTACAGGGCGCTGCTACCATACCTTGGCTGCGGGGAGCGTTGGCGGCCTACGACGAACAGCCAACGGCGGCCAGCCTGACGGATCAACCACAACGACGCGGGATGTTCACCAGCTGCGAAATCGACAAAGAGCCACGCAAAGGACGATAGGCCCCTGGTCAGCCCCGCGCCAGCCGAGCGACGCAAAATAAACGGCGTTCACGCCCTGCGTGCCGCCATGCACGACGCGCACACCGGCCATCAAGCACGAAACTCACCGTCGACGTTCCCAAACGGCGTGATGACATGGGCGCAGAGGGACACCAGCCCCGACTGCCCCCAGGCCGAGCGCCCTCTGGCGGAGGAAACGGTGGCAGCGGGACAAAGGGACACCCACTGGTCCTGAAGCCCGCGTCGCAGACCACGTGGAAAGCGGCGACCCCATCCATGGCCCCGACAGGGAAATCTGTCCAACCGGCGACAGAATCGAGGATCCAGACGACGGGGCAAACTTCATGCAGGCATGCAAGGTCCCAGGGCCACGCAGGTGCCGGAACTGCACGAGGCACAAAGGCTGGCGAAACGCCAGCACCAAGACATCCCCGACCGCATCCAAGGCACGGCCGCGACGTGGTCACCGGGGTACGAGGGACGGGTACGAGGGACAAAGCTAGATGGATCCGTGCATCGCGCGTTTGACGGAAGACACGCAAAATTGAAGGGGCCCTGGGACACACAAATAAATACACACAAGTAAACAGATTCCCCATATGTTCCTATATTTTCTCGGTTTTTGTCTTCCCCCCACTTCCCATATTTTCCCATATTTTCTGGGAAATCGACGATTCATTGTGTCTGTGTGTTTCTTTCCCTCCTGAAAAATCCCAACGACGCCCCGCTGCTCAGAGCCACGCGCACAGAAGGCGCGCCCCTGGGGTACATGTGCGCCAATGCGGAGCTTGCGACGCCTGCCTCACGGGATGGGAGAACGCGCGCTTGACCGAGGCTTTCGAGCACAGGGCCTCCAGCAGACTGCCGCACGCTGACCGCGGGGCTCGCCTCGTCACCTACATCCGATCCGCCGCCCCCACTTGGCGGCGCGCACAAGGGGGTGGATGGAGGGGGGAGGGCTTCTTCGAAGGAGGCTGCTTCTCAGAAGGCGCCGGCCTTACATCTATAGACAAGGCCCGCGCCTTCTAAGAAGCAGGGGTGCCTCTCGGAAGCCCCCCCCCGCTCCCTCCGCCCCCCTCTGCGCGTGGCTGACCCACGGCGAAGCAGCAGCGGTGGCACACCAACAGACGCAGCAGCCCATCCGACAGACGCAGCAGCAACAACGCAGCCACACCTGGGCGCGGAGCCCAGGCAGCTGGACCACCGCCGCCCTCGCACGCCACGCGACCGCAGCCGCCCCCGCCAGGGGCCCCAAGGAGGAGGAGGAGGAGGAGGAGGAGGAGGAGGAGGAGGAGGAGGAGGAGGAACACCTCCAGCAGTTGCGACGGCCGCCGACGACATCCTGGTGCCCCAGACCCCACCGGGGAAGGAGACGCTTGACATCGATTTCTTCGCGGAGGACACGTCCGAGGACGACCCCGACCGGCCGACGTCGGCACGGCGGCCCACGTGGGGGTTTCAAGCTCAGCGTCACCTGGTTCTGCGTCTTCGGGCTCGTTTTTGCCCCTGGGGCTGGCGCGGACATCGCCTCCCCGGGCGTGCACGACGGCAGCCCTTCGGGCGCACTGCTCCTTACTGGGGGGAGCAGCTACCAGAACTGGGCGGCAGCCCAATGCCACCAGAGCCAGCGCCAGGCTCGACGGCCCAGCCAGCGGCCAGGCCGCATCAGGACCTCCACACGGCTCGCCCCAGACACACTCGGCCGTTCTGAGAAAGGCGCCCACGCCCGCGCCTCTGCGAGCGGGGAGCCGGCTCCACTGGCACGTCACATACCACTGTCAAGGGGCCCAAGGACACACAAAGAAATACACACAAACAAAAACGATTCCCCATATGTTCCATATTTTCTGGGTTTTTGTCTTCCAGCCCAATTCCCATATTTTCCCATAATCTCCTGGGAGTCGACGATGAATTGTGTATGTGTGTGTGTTTTTTCCCTCCTGACACTGGAAGGCCACGCTCCTCTGCTCAGGGATGGCTATCCTCCAAGGCGTCGGCTGCACCATCCGCGCCCGCACGGGAGAGCGGTGTCTGGGACGCGGGGCCGACGGTAGCACGGGACCGAAGATGTTGCGGCAGAGGAACGCGGGTCGATGCGCTCACCAGAGCGGCTGATCCCAGACCCCCTGACTACCTACCAGACCACCCCAACCCAACCCGAAGACCCGAATTTCGGGTTGGGGGGGTAAGGGTTCCACATGTGTTTTTTCTATGTTTCCCGACCCCCCCCCACTGGAAATCGAGGGTAAATCTGAGCCTTCGGGTTGGGTTGGGGTGGTTTAGTGGGTGGTGACCCCCCCCCCAGTCCAGGATCAGCCGGCGGAGATCTCTCTGTCCGCGGCCACCCTCAACACACCATCGGGACCCTTAGCAATCTCTTACCACCATGGAGGCGCACGGCTGCTATAGAGGCAGCTGACCGCGCAGCCGCAGCCGAAGCCGCAGCCCGCGCCGGCACCGCATGGGGCACCAGCCCCGCTGGCAGGGCCGACAGAGCGGGCCCCACGGGCAGAGAGCCGGCACCGAGCCTGCCAGCAACCGCTGCGGTCAGACAGACAGTGATGGGGCCAGCGCAACTGCCAGCGGAGATCTGGCGCGCGGAGCGCGCCGGGGGCAGCGCCCGAGGCGCCGCCCAGGGGTGTGGGGAGGGAGCGCGGCGCCCAGCGCCGATCCAAGATCCGCGCGGAGCTCCGAGAGGCGACAGTCAACGCGCCCGACGAATATGCGCGATCAGGATGCAAGGGCATTGGAAGGCCATGACGACTTCTTGCGAGCGGGGCGCGGCCAGCGAAGTCGCCAAGGGACGGGCCGAAGGGGAAGCCTGCAAGGGTAACCTTGGAAAATTGTTCATCCTTACTACGCTTAGGTCGGGCCTGTCCCCCTACAGGGGGATGTGGGGCGAAAAATCAACAACCTTCATAAACGATTGAACACATGCTCAAAAAAAGTTGCAACAAGAATCGTCCCCTGGCTTAAAAGAAAAAAACAAGTTTGAATCTTCCTCCTGTAGAGGAACAGGCCCGATTAATACTGCGCGCTCTGACTGCATGTCCTCTCCAGTCCTGCGCATCCTCTGTCCTCGTCCAGGGCTGAACCTAAACGGTGTGTTTCGTTTTCGTTATGTTTTCGTTGTCCCTCGTCTTGTCTCCAATCCGCCTTTAACGCAAAACGACATCGAAACGAAAACGGCCCACAAAATCACCAAAGCACCGTTTAGGTCCACCCCTGTCCTCGCCCCAGCAGGGGTTGAGCGGCCCGACTGGTTGAGGTCGGCGGTGTACCTCCCCTGCCCTGCCGCGCCGCCGCCCAGGCCGCAGAGGGGTCCCCCGAGCGGGCATCGACTGTGCGTCGCGTCGGGCCGCACGAGCATTTTCGGCACGAACGAAATGGGTACGGAAAGAATGGGTACTCCAGATTTCGTAATAAAGGGAGGGGGGTCTCATTTCGGGGGGGTCTCTTCCAGGCTATCTTGAAGGGCCTGGGGGGGTCTGGGGACGATGTTGTGGAGGGTGCTCCCACGGGGGAGGTCTGAAATGGCTTGTCTTGGAGGGTCCAGACCCCCTCCCTTTTATTACGAAATCTGGAGTACAGTCGGACAACATTGGACAAGACACGCGAGAGAACACAAAACCATTCCGAGGGCCACATCGCCACTGGAGCGTAAGAAGGCACGTGCCGCGAGGCACACGACACAAAGATACCCTTGAGCTGGCAGGGTCGACCTACTTATCCGGGCCGACTCTACGATGCCCAACAGCAGTTCCTGTTCATTTTGGACAGGACTCGCTGTCCGCGCCGCCGCGGCCTGTGTCCATCTGAGACAGACGGCCGCTGCTGGTGTGGATACCATTTGTTGTTGGGCATTGTACCTAATTTTTCCGTACCAATTTCGGACGTCCAAAGCATTGAGTCGGAATCGAATCACCCCCACACTCCAGGTGGCATAAGCCCCGCAACGCCTCAGGCGGGTGATCGGAACCGCTCCACCTCCGTGCCTCCCCTCGGGTTGTTTTCCTTGCCACTGCCCAATCTCACACTCAACCAGGCGCATGCAGCTACCTCGTTCAAGATAGGGATGGCGGCAAGATATAAACTCGAGGCCATTCTGGCTTTACACTCCCACTCAGCCCCTTTCGACGGCCTATCTAATCTGTTGGGCGCTCCCAGCAAGGCAACCCTCGATCTGACAAGAGGCCCAGCTCCTGCCCGTGTCAAGATGATCAACCAACCCCTTTGTGTGCCGACCTAGCTCTGCAGGGTTTTGCCTGTCCGCCCTTCCTCTGTCAATAGTCCTACATTTTTCGGGGGCGCGCAAGCATGGATTAGCGATCCACGGATCAGTGGAGGTGCCCTCCCCACAATGCGGCCTGTGCCGCCCCGTTCGGCGGCGGAAATCTTAGACTTCCCATGGAGCCGGGACCCGTCGCTAATCCACGCCCCCTTGATCCATGTCTGCGATCGCCTGAATTTTCCCCTCTAGGCTTATGTTGCTCGCATTGTGGACCATATCCCAGAAATACTTTCGAGCGCCCCCAAAAAGTGTCGAAACAGTGTGGAACGAGTGTCGCCCCCCAGGCCCAGGACCCGGCACTTGAGAATCCTGAAGATTCGGTGCCTACTTGGTGCTCGAAATCTTTTGTGGTGATCAAGGCTAGGAGTAGGTTGGAACATCATAACTCCAGGCAGCACCCTTGCCGAAGTGGCGATCGGCCGCATCGGGGGCGCAAGGCGCTCGCGCGACTTGGTCAGCTGGTGCGCTCTGGGCCCGCCTGGGCGCACCCTCTGCGCACCCTTTGCGCGTCACGCCGTGGCGCACGGCGCCCTCGAGTCAAGAAGCCCCCGAGGTATGTGCTGTTCCCATCGTACTGGGGATCGACGATCCTTTGTGTCTGTGTTGCTGTCCCTCCTGACCTGTTCTCCGTGTTTCGCTCAGCACCTCGGGCTCGAGCAGCACCCCTGCACCGAACAGCCGGCCGGCTCACGGGGGGCGTGCCCGAGGCGGGCACCGGGCGGGCACGGGGCGACGGACCCGGCAGAGCACGCCGACCGCTCGGGACCGGAGCAGGGGCCCCTCGGTGCCGTGTTGCTCCCAGCGTAAATTACGGGCCACATCCCAGAACGAATCTCGAGCACCCAGAGAGAGGCATCGAAACAGTGTCGGACCCTTGTAAGTTTCGGTGCCTTCTTGGTGCTCGAAATTCTTCCTGGCGATCGAGGCTGAAATGAGTTGGAACATCGTAGCACACGGTCTGGACGGTACGCCCGGTGGGTAGTTAGAGCGTCCGAGAAGGCCCCAGCGAGAAGGCAAAACACAACAGTGCGTTTACGCAAGTTTGGGGCTCATTTCGGCATCCTGGGCGGGGGCCCTAATCGGGGATCCCCTTCGTTGATCGATCGCTTCCACGATGGTCCCAAGACGGCCCGAAGCGCTCCCCAAGAGACCCCCTGGAGTGCCCCGCGAGGCGCCCAAGAGGTTCCAAGGGGTGCCGGAGAGGACCCCAAAAGGCTCCCAAGAGGCCCCCGAGACGCCCCAAGACGCCCCAAGAGGCCCACCACTTGGCCCCAAGGACGTCCCAAGAAAACCCCCAAGAGGCCCTCCAAGAGGCCCCCGAAGAGCCGCCGGGCGGCCCCAGGTGGCCCCGAGAGGCCACGGGACCCTGAGAAACATCCCAAGAGGCTCAGAGAGGAGGAGGAGGAGGAGGAGGAGGAGGAGGAGGAGGAGGAGGAGGAGGAGGAAGAGGAGGAGGGAGGAGGAAGGAGGAGGAGGAGGAGGAGGAGGATCCAAGAAGAAACCTCTGGCACATGGAGGCTCCCCGAGCTCTCCGAATGATGCCGCGCTCCCCCGGTGAGGGCAGCTCCCCGGGGCATCGTTCCTTGATGGGCTCGTGGGATAATTACGCAAAGCTTTAAGAGTTCCGCGGAGCATCCAGCTGTTCCGAGGACGCTCCAGGATGCGCAGCGGTATTGATGCCTTTCCCTCATCTGGCTCCGGGAGGGGGGGGGCCGCATCTGGCCGCTGGTCGGAGACCTTCCGACCTGGGGCAATCCAGACCCAGATGAGTCAGGCCTTTGCAGGATCCTGCGCCCAAACCTGTGTCAATGCGACTCTGGCTTTGCATGATCCTGCTACAGTCGGGGCTGCTTGGAGAGGACACGCGAGAGGACACGAGACCCTTCCGAGGGCCACGTTGCCATAGGAATGCCGCAGAACACAGGACACAAGGGCGCCCTTGATTTGGCAGGGTCGACCTACGAATCAGCCTTGACTGTGGCTCCGGCTCCGCAGGATCCTGCTAGTTCTGGCGCTCTTCATGAAAGCAACAAGAGGGCCAACACCACCAGGACTCCACAGAACTCCGCTCCCAAAGACTCGGGGGCGTTCACGAGGGGGGTGTCCAAGAGGGAGCGGGTACAACTCGTGGCCCGAGGCATGTGCGCGGACCAGGGGGGGAGCCAGGGAACGTATTGAAAGAAGACGAGGGGCCGTGAAATCTGGGGAAATATCATGGCCCCCGCCATGATATTCCCCTCCCCCCTATCGGGACAAGGAACGGCGACACCAACACCACCGGGGCGAGGAGATGCGAGGAGGCAAGGGGGGTCTCCCTCGTGGTGTGGTCCCCCCCCCTCTCGCTCGAGACATCCCCAACCTCCAGCTCGGGGAGGCGTCGTGGGCCTCCTCGCTGGAGGTGGGCCCCCTGGTGGTGTTGGTGCCGCTTCTCCTCCCTCCGGCCCTAGTCCTCACCCCGCTCTTGGCCGCCCCCGAAAGACCCACTCCCCCCGAGCTGGTGGCACCCCGCTCCGGGCACTCTCTGGGGGCGCGCCCGGCACGCAGAGCCACCAGCTCGGGGAGGGCGAGCGGCCAGCACCCCTAGCTGGAGGAGGGGGAGGAGGAGGATGACGAGGAGGAGGAGGAGCAGGACGAGGAGGAGGAGGAGGAGGAGAGTGAGGAGGAGGAGGAGGAGGAGGAGGAAGAGGAAGAGGAGGAGGAGGAGGAGACTGAGGAGGAGGACAAGGAGAAGGAGGAGGAGGAGGAGGAGGAGGAGGAGGAAGACATGGGCAACCCGCGTTTTGGAAATCTGCGGCGTTTCCACCACGGAAAAACCCATGCAGAATTCATCCAACGTGCTCGCTGGCATCGAGGGCTTGGCCAAAGCCACCACAACGCCTGGATTCGGCACCCAAGACGCTCGGAGCGTTCCCGGCACAATGCGTCTTCAGCCTCGTTCCGCTTCGCCTTCTGGTGTTTCAACTTACGGCGAAGTTTTGAATACTCCTCCGAGCCCTCCGCCGCGCGCTTGCGGCCTGGCGCGCAGGGCTGGTCGAACTCATCAACGAAAGCGGCCTCGAGGTCGCGGATTGCGGCAAAGGTGTTGGGAAAGTCCGACGCCCCGGTCTGCTTCTGCAATCGCGCACGCAATGCGCGCAGGGAACCCGCAACAACGAAACGTCTTCCATTGAGCCACGTGCTGACGTGATCACGAATGTGATTAACGTGTGATATGATGGAGGTCGTGAGTGCGACTACAACGGGGCGGAACTTCCTCCTCCTCCTCCTCCTCCTGCTCCACTTCCCTCACTCCTCGCCGTGCCCCAAGCCCACGGAAGAACAAATAGCTGAATATGTCGCAAACCTCGTTCCTCTTTCCCAGCACTGGGAGGAATGCTGACGCAATCTGTCGCAACCGCTCTCCCGCCTCCCTTTCAACCTCCCTGCCCGCCCGCCCCCCGCCCTCCTCCTCCTCCTCTTTCCTCTCCTCCTCCTCCTCCTGTTCCTTTTCCTCCTCCTCCTCCTCCTCCTCCTCCCCTTGACGGCGGCGCCGACGTTTGCCCAAATGCTGCAAGGGGGCACGCGGCGTGCGCACAAGCGGTCTTTACCATTGCAGTGGTCTATCATTGTGCTCTGTCGGCGGTGTAAAGAAGAATGACGGGCGCCCATATCGCAGGTTGCGTTGACAGCGGTTCGGGGGTTGTGGTCTGGATTGACGGGCGAATGGTCGGGCGCAACATTTTGAGGACATCGCGCACAGCGTCATCCCTACGCAAACCCGACGAAGCTCCGACGTAGACCCGCGAGAATGCCACTATTGCGGGCCGCGCGAGGCCTGAAGGATTTTCTACAGAAGTGGAGGTGGTTCTTTCTTCTCTGGTGAGCTCTGGCGGGCCTCCGTCCGCATGTGGACCTCCGTCTCTCTCTGGAGCACCGGCCCGGGGTCCAGGAGCACGCGCGGAGCGCCCGGCGGCGCGAGGCCCGGCTCCCGCGAGGTGGGGCCGGCAGCGCAGCCTCCGGGGGGGGGCCCCCGGCAGCGGGATGAACAGTTTTTGCAGGAGCGTGGGATCTCTGGGTCGTTCAACCTCGACCGATTCTGGGTAGCTGGCGCGGCGTCCAACCTTACACTTGGCGGCGAGAGCGGGGGGGAACCGAGAAGGAGAAGGCCTTCTCCGAAGGCGGCGGGACTTCTCAGAAGCCCTCACGGCTTCTGAGGAGTTGTTCCTGCTTTGTCATCGGGGAAGGCTCAGCAAACCTCTCAGAAGGCCGGGGGACTTCCGGCCTTCTGAGGAAGGCCTTCTCCTTGTGAGCGTTTTTGTAATTCGGCGTTTCGACATTGAGCGGAAGGGGGGGGGAGGGGGGGTCTGGCTCCAGACTTCTGCTTAGTGCGACTGGTCGCAAGAGTGCTGCCCCTGGGGGGCTCCACCCGCTCGAAACAGGCGCCAAAAGACAGCCAAGATCTACTCCGTGGGGGGGGGGAGGAGGGGTGCGACGGCCCACAAAAAACACTGACCTGGACGTTGTGTTTGATTGTGTTGACGTTTGGTTCTTCGTTTTGCTTCACCTCTGGTCCTGCACCTCCCTCCCAAGACGAAAAACAAGACACTGGGGAGACCAAGAAGATATACCTTTTCGTTTCCCCAACGTCTTGCTACCAGCATCGGTATACCACTACCGGTATACTCCAGGGACCCCTCTGGGGGTAAGTTTTCGAGGCGAATCCAGCGGTGGCGACGGCGGAGGCCCAAGAGGCCCTAAAAAAGGGAAAACGAGGGGAGGGTAGAGGCATGGGTAAGTCGGGCGTGTCCCCCTACAGGGGGATTTTCGACGAAAAATAAAAAATACCCCCCAAATACTCCAAAATTGTTAAAAATACTCCAAACATAGTCCCCTGACTATTTTTTGACTATCTTTGAATATTCCCCATGTAGAGGGACAAGCCCGACTTCAAGGTATGGGTATCTTCTCCCCCTCTGCGGCACGGCCGAAGCCCAGCAAAACAGCGCTCAGGTCCAGCCCTGGCGCTCGGGGCGGGAGGCCGCCCCCCCCCCCCCCCCCCAAATCGGGAGCGGCCAAGAGGGGGATGTCCAAGAGGGGGGGGCGCAAATCATGGCCGGCGGCATGTGCGCGGCCCAGCGGGGGGGCCGGGGACGTAAGGAGATAAGAAGGGGCGCCCTGAAATCTGGGGAAATATCATGGCCCCCGCCATGAGATCCACCCCCCCCTAGTCATCACCCCCCTCTTTTCCGCCCCCCCCAAAGGGCGACGGGCACCTGCGGGCCGGCCTCGCGCCGCGCGCGGGCGCGGCGCGCATCCGTCAGCTTCGCGCGCTCGCGCCGCCCCCTCCCTGTCCTGACGGCCCCTCCTCGGAGCCCTGGGCAGCGAAGCGCGGAGCGCGGTCACCGTCGCGTGCGTGTCCTCCTCCTCCTCCCCCCGCCTCCCTCCTCCTCCCTCCTCCCTCCTCCTCCCTCCTCCTCCCTCCTCCTCCCTCCTCCTCCCTCCTCCTCAGGTGGCGTGGAGCGACGCGGCGCCTGTCGGGGCAAAGGTTGGGTCGGGCATGTCCTCCTGGAGGCGAATGCTGGAAGAAAAATCGGTCAAAGAAAATCAAACGTGATCAAAAGAGCACGACAGAGCGTCCCCAGACTATTTCTGAAACTGTTCTTGCAAAAAGCTGGTCCCACAAAAGTTCCATGTAATTAAATGCTCCTCGCCCTTGCACGGGGAACTGCCATCTTCACGCCGACATGCTGTCAAAGGCCCCCCCAGGCCAGGGATTTGGGTGGTCACGCGCCCTTCTGGCCTACTCAGACCGGGCGGCCCAGACGGGCAGTCCCAGATTCGGGAAGGGCCTGATCCTTAGCGGCGCCGGTGCATCATAACTGGGGCTCGTGTAGGGCATGCTAGGGTTGGTGTGCGCGCAAGTGCCCCCGCAGCTTTAATGTGCATCCCCAAGAGCTCCAGACTCTGCCCCGTCGCACCTGAAGATCTCCGCACAACGAGAGCGTACCACGGAGAGCATCCTCTCCAAGGGCATCAACGCGATCTCCTGGGCAACCAGCATGGGCACAAGGCACAACCACCGCACGGCAATCCATCTGCTCCGAATGGACAGGACTGCCGGAAGTTGAAGCTTCAGAGAGACATGGGTCTGGATGTTCACTATCAAGCCCAACAAGTTCACGCTCGAATCGTGATTCATGTGACGTGCTTCCACCATTTCACGAGAGAGCTGTCATGCAGATTCCCCCCTGCCTATGCACGACAGCGACCTTGGCACTGAAGTCACCACGAAACACAAAACTGCATCAGTGCGTCTCGATAGTAACAAGGTAGCTGAAGAACTGCTCCCGAAAGGAAAACAACGGCTATCTCCACGGCTCCCGTTCCGTTAGAGATGATAAGGATGACATCGGCCCGAACCAAAAACCAATCAAGGATGCAACGATGAGAGGACCGAACCTATGGGACCTAACAGATCATGTCAAATTGGGGAACATTCCCGAGCCGAGAATAACCATCTGGAGGCGCAGATCAAACATGTGCGAACGCTGTCAGACAAGGATCTGCACGGTGTGGTCCGCCATCGCGCCTACGGTGAAGCTGCTACCATCAGGAACGCCGAGGGAGAACGGGAGCCCCCTCTTTTGGCCCCAAGAGCGCTTGAAGCACTTGTTCTTCGCAGATGAGTTCAAATCATACATTGTTCGCCTCGGATGCTCCACGATGGGCTCCGGAGGCCCCCGGGATGGTCCAAGAAACCCCCAAGAAATCCCACCAGTCCTCAGGGCGTCGGTGGTTTAGAGCGTTTCCTCTTCCACCCCTCCTTCTTTTCCGTCGGGAAGGGATTTACCCCTCCCCCTACCGCCTCCCCATGGAACTGGACAAGGGGGTTCGCGAAGTGTCGGAGCGTCCAAAACGGCATCGGCGAGAAAGCCAACATCATTGAATTTACAATGGTTCTGGCCCCATTTTGGCCTCCTGGGGGGGCGGCTGTAAACCGTGACCCCCCCTCATGTGATCGATCTCACCCAAGATGGCCCAAAGATGGCCCCCAAGGCTCCCAAGGGTGCCCCAAGATGGCCCAAAGATTGCCCCAAGGACCCCCAAGAGGCCCCCAGGAGGCCCCCAAGACACCCCCAAGGCCCCAAGAGCCCCACCAGAGGCACCCAAGATGCTCCAAGAGGCCTCGGCGAGAATGCCAAATCACTGATATCACAGAAAGGCTTTAGCCACATGTTGGCCTCTTGGCGGGGGCACTGATTCAGATGACTCCAAGAGCGCCTGGGAGAGCCCGAAATGACCTCCAAGATGGCTCAAGATATCCCAAGATGGCTCATGATGGCTTCCTCTGTGTGCTGCACACTTCCCTGATCGAGGCAATTCCTCTGGGCATCGTTTCTGGATGGGCTGATGGGGATTCGCGAAGCGTCAACAAGTCTCTGACGGCCCAAGGGACACCCAAGATGACCCCTCCAAGCTGACCTCTGAGACGGCTTCAAGACGGCTCAAGACCGCCCCAAGACGGCCCCAAGAGCATCCGAAATGGCCGACTGACGTTCCAACAAAAGCCAGTATGATCCGAACGGGCCTTCAGAAGGCCTCCACAGAGCCCCGAGAGGGATCAGAGAGAGACCCTGAATGGCCACCAGAGGGGCCCCAGTGTTCGGCCGCTGCCACGGTCCCCGCTGGCGGGGCTGGCCGCGCCAGCTCACACAGGGATGAGACCCCTCCGCCCCGGAATGGCCCCTCGCCTTCCCCCCCCCTCTGCGGCCGCCCGCCCTGCCCTGTTTTCCGCTCGTGCACGCTGGCCAGTTCGCCACAACGGCGCCCCCGTTGAGCCCGCTCGCGGGTGCTGCAACCACAGCCTCGCCGCCGGCGGAAAGGTGTGTGCGTGCGTGTTTGCGTGCGTGCGTGCGTGCGTGCGTGCGTGCGTGCGTGCGTGCGTGCGTGCATGCGTGCGTGCGTGTGTGTGTGTGTGTGTGTGCGTGCGTGCGTGCGTGCGTGTGTGTGTGTGTGTGTGTGCGTGCGTGCGTGCGTGCGTGCGTGCGTGCGTGTGCGTGCGTGCGTGCGTGCGTGCGTGGGTGTGTGTGTGGGTGCACGTGCGTGCGGTGCGTGGCGTGCGTGCGTGCGTGGATGCGTTGCGTGCGTG